GTGTCAAACCTTTGGTGATTGACAGGAACACTGCATATTTTCGAGAGGGGTAACAGAACAACAGAGTTGGAAGGGATCTTGGAGGGCTTCGGGTCCAACCCCTTCCTCAAGTAGGAGACCCCCAGACCATTTCAGACAAATGGTCATCCAATATTCCAGTATGGATTCAAAATTTTTAGCAACCGGTTCTTTGCCCGGTTCCTGGGTGGGGGTAGCCATGGTGGGCGTGGCCTACTTTGCATCCTGCACCATGGGGGAGGGGGGCGTTTTTGCCCTCTGCAGGCTCCGGAGGCTTTCCTTGAGCCTCTGGGAGGGCGAAAACAGCCTCCTACAGCCTCCGGAGACTGGAAACAGGCCCATTTCCAGACTTCTGGAACTTCCAGGAGGCCCATTTTTTGCCCTCCCAGAGACTTCGCGTGCCCCCTGCACTTACCTGGCATCCAAAATGAGCCGCGTGGAAACACCTGGGAGGGGCAGGGTGAGTTGTCAGTCCTTACAACTACTGGTTCGGTGAAGCAGATGTAAAATTAGCATCTGGTTCGTCCAAACCGGCTGAATCCCACCCCTGGAGCACCCACAACTTCTGGTGGTAAGTCATTCCACTGATGAATTATTTTGTCAGGAAATTCCTCCTTAATTTCCATCCATTCCTTCTTGTTCCACCTTCAGAAGCTTTGGAGAATAGGTTGACCCCTTCTTCTTTGTTGCAATCCCTTAGATATTGAAACACTGCTATCATGTCTCTCCCATGCCTTCTTTTCCTTAGACTAGACATAGCCAATTCCTGCAACCCTTCTTCATATGTTTTAGCCTCCTATCCCCTAATCATCTTTGTTGCTGCTTCCTTCTTGATAATCATTCTGGTCAAGGAAGAAATATTTTGTGTTGGAGAAATGGAGAAGTCCTTTGGCAACTCCCAGAATTCTCCACCTGTGCTGGCTGGGGAATTCTGGGAGTTGAAGTCCAGACGTCTTAAAGTTGCCAAGTTTGAGAAACATTGACTTACGTGGTCATTACAGACCCCTTGAAGGGATAACTGTTTCACTTACGGGATACACAATTCAGATCCCAACCCATCTTCCTCTTTCCAGTTTGCCTCAAAAATCCATATTTTTTTCTCCTGATTGCCCCCAGGACCCATCTTGCTGTCAATTACAGCTTTCATGAGCTGCTGAAGACCACGTGTTTCAAAGCTTCAAATCGATATCACCTGTGGTGAGCTGCCAGGAAAAGGTGCGCGTTACTCTCATAAGCCAAGAAAATTAAGCTTTTATTGGGATTGCAAAAGTGAATACTCTGTTGCCCAGAATGATTTGCACGAAGGTCAGCTACCTTAGTTGGTTTACAAATGGGTTTGCAGGCAACACACCAAGGGGCCACTCCCTCCTTTCACAATCCCACCACTGCAGCCCTTACCCCTCTCAAAAATATGTACTTTGTTTAAACAACTATAGTCAAATGAAAATGGAGGCATGATGATAAATATCTGAGTTAAAATACTTGAGGTAATATGAATTATGCCTGATGACTGTTGAAGAGATGCACGAAAGTTTTTTGTAACCAACTGATACACTTTCTACACTATATAAGAAAGGAAGATTGTATGTGTTGTGTCTGTTTTGAAAATAAAAAAAAACTGATTAAGAAAAAAAATATGTACCCTGTTTCCCTGAAAATAAGACCGCCCCGGATAATAAGCCCAATCGGGCTTTTCAGTGCATGTGCTAAAATAAGCCCTCCCGGAAAATATTGCAACACAGCATGCTCGCTGCCTCCTGCACCTCAAAAATAATAAGACCTACCCGAAAATAAGGCCACATGCTTATTTCAGGGGTCAAAAGAAAATAAGAACCTGTCTTATTTTCAGGGGAATACGGTAGTGTATCACCAAATGTTCTGAGTCTTCATCAAACAATTCAGTAGTGACTCCAGTACAGTGGTGGACAGATATGGTTTTCTGCCCCAAAGTTAAGGACAAGACGATATTCCTTTCACATACTGGCTTTTTTTAAATATCTAGCTACAGGTGTAGTTAGAATGATTTGGGAAACGAGGTGAGTGTGGGAGGATTTCCTTCCATTACTCACCAAAAGAAGGCCTTGTCTCTCTTCTCGGGATCCGTGAACCCAGAGTCAATGAACATGTCTTTGTAGATGCGGCCACACATGCAGTACAGGTCAGGTGCCACCCCTTCGGGCTTCTCCACCAGAGGCAGGAGAACAGAGAGAGCTTTCTCGCGGTCCCCAGGTTGGTTCCGCCTGCAGAGATATCACATACAGATTGGTCACAGAGTTGGAAGGGACCTTGTAAGTCATCTTAGTCCAACCCCCTGCCCAAGCAGGAGACCCTGCCTTTCTGAGAAATGGCACTCCAGTCTCTTCTTGAAAGCTTCCAGGGATAAATCTCCCACAACTTCCGAAGGCAACTTCTGTTCCTTTGGTTGATTGCTCTCACTGTCAGGAAATTTCTCCTTATTTCCAGGTTGAATCTCTCCTTGGTCAGTTTCCATCCATTATCTGGCCTTTGGGTGCCTTGGAAAATAGTTTGACCCCCTCCCCTTTGTGGCAGCCCCTCAAATATTGGAAGACTGCTATCCTGTCTCCCCTGGTCCTTCTCTTCACTAGACTAGCCATGCCCAAAGCATTCTTCATATGCTTTAGCCTCCAGTCCCCTAATCATCTTGGTTGCTCATCTGTGCACTTTTTCTAGAGTCTCAACATCTTTTTTATCGTGTGGCAACCAAAACTGGATGCAGTATTCTAGGTATGGTTTTACTAAGCCTTTATAGAGTGCTATTAGTACCTCCCTTGATCACTAAGCTTCACTAACAGAGAATAATACACTCAAAAGGGAACATTTTCCTTACATTTACTAAATAGAGAGGCACAATTTTTTTTGTAGATGAGATGCTTGTTTCCAAAGTACCTGCCTCTCAATAATGATCAAAAGTTAGGGAGGTATTTGACTAGCTGTCATGGCTAGTTTGGTGGTACTGTTTGGTGGTACTGTTTTGAACCAGAGACTGAGAAAAGGGACAGTTTCATTTTAGAATAGAATAGAATTGGATAAGATAAGATAGAATAGAATAGAATTCTTTATTGTCCAAGTGTGATTGGACACACAAGAATTTGTCTTTGGTGCATAGGTCTCAGTGTACATAAAAATACATTCATTAAGAATCATAAGACACAACACTTAGTGATAGTCATAGGCTACTAATAAGCAATCAAATTATACTAGGAAACAAATAAAAACAATATAACTTGAAAGAAACAACAACATGGTTATAGTCATGTGGGAAGAGATAAGTATTAGTAAGGATGAGAAGACGACTAGTAATACAGCCTTAGTAAATTATTTGACAGTGGGAATTAGTTGTTTAGCAGAGTGATGGCATTCGGGGAAAAACTGTCCTTGTGTCTAGTTGTTCTGATGTGCAGAGCCCTATAGCATCATTTTGAGGGTAGAAGTTGAAACAATTTATGTCCAGGATGTGAGGGATCTGTAGTTATTTTCACAGCCCTCTTTTTTTTTATAAGCCACTATATAGGTAATCCTCAACTTACAATCACAATTGGAATCAGAATTTCCCATTGGGACCCTGATGACAACTGGACATAAGTCACTTTTTTTCAGTGCCATTGTGCTAGTTGCTAAACAGATGTTGTAAGTCGAGGACTGCCTGTATGGGGAAAAAATCCATTCACCTGGTTATTCCTGCTTTGCATAAAGTTAATTAGCAAGGGGAAATTTGGAAGTGCAGGAACTTCCAAGATCTCCCGGAGCCTCTTCCCTGGAGAAATCTACAGCAACGTGCAATTTGTGTTCTAAAAACCTTCTTGTGCTCTGCTTCCCTTCAATTATATTACACCTCTCTCTACAGCCCTGTAAAGAAATTCTGGTTGCCCAAGAGAGTCCCGATGGCCGTGGGCATTGAGATGATCAAAACAAGAAACCTGTCCTTATTCACGGAGGAGTCTCACCTGTCAAGAGCAAAGGCGTAGTGGAAACAGATGTTGTGCTGCTCGGCAACACTGCATGTTGGCAGGGTTTGGAGAGTCTCCACAAGGGTGATGATCGCATCACAGTCCTGTAGAAGATAACACCGAGTGACCATTCTTAAAGGACTTAGAGCAGGGGTGTCAAACTCGATTTCATTGAGGGCTGCATCAGGGTCGTGTTTGACCTTGGGTGGCCGGGGTTGGTATGGCCAGGGTGGGCTTGGCCAACTCGACATCACTCGTGTCAGGGGTTCCTATGGCAGCCCATGCACTTTGCCAGCAAAAATGGGCTCCTGAGCTCCGTTTTCAGCTGCGATGGCCTCCTGCAACCCTCTACCAGCAAAAACGGAGTTTGGGAGGGCCTCACGCAGCCCTCCCGAGCCGTGTTTTCACTGGTAGAGGCACCGTGGGCCAGTCCTCCACTGTTTCTAGGGTAGCCCTGCGGGCCAGATCTAAACATCCTGCGGACCAAATGTGGCCCCTGTGCCTTGAGTTTGACACCCCTGGTTGTAGACTAAGGAATCCCAAATTTTAACAAGCCTGGAACTAAACACAAAACCAAGTTTACCCAAGTCACATTTTATCAGATCTTTAGTATGAAGCCAACCAAACTCAGAAATGCTTTGAGGTCCATACAATATATTGGCCATATTCTATGTAGAAAACTCCCTATTCAATTCTTTTGCATTCTCCTTGCTGGCACGCTTCAAAAGTTCTGGATTTTTTGTCTTTTCTGTCGCCACAGAACGAAAACGGCAAATTACTAATTGCAAAAAAAAAACACACCCTGCTTAATGGCCACCACAGCTTATAACTGTACAGCTAGTCCTCGACTTACAACCACAATTGAGCCCCAAATTTAAGTTGTTAAGGAAGACATTGGTTAAGTTAATTGTGCACCATTTTACGACCTTTCTTGCCACAGCTGTTAAATGAATCACTGCAGCTGACAAGTTAACAACCCGGTTGTTAAGTGAATCTGGCTTCCCCATTGACTTTGCTTGAGAGAAGGTTGCAACATAGTAACGGTCATAAATATGAACCAGTTGCCAAGAATCTCAATTTTGATCACACGATCATGGAGAAGCTACAAAGGTCGTAACTTTGAAAAATGGTCATACGTCACATTTTCCATGCCATTGTAACTTTGAATCATCACTAAAGGAGATAGCGAAGACTATATGTAATTCTGGGCTCAATTTACAATTGTATGTTGAGGACTATCTGTATGCTTTTCTTTCTATTGGACCAAACCCCACGGATCTGCAGTGAAATATCTGCTTTGGGTAGTATGTTGAGTGATGAGAAAGCAGAGGGGACAGGAAACGGGGACCTAGAATAGTAGAAAGTTGGATTTTATGCTAAGAAAGCATTTTAATTGTTTCAGGAAGCCCAAAATTTCAACCACAATTTGATTATTCTTTAATAGAACAGAAACCCCAGGACGTAAGCAAGTTTTTCTTTCTTTCTTTTTAGTTCAGCAGAATTAATCGAGAAGTTGCTTATCATCTAGACCGGTACTTCCCAAATTTGGGTAAATTACTCAGAATTGAATAAGAGTGGTTTTTCTTGGGGTAATAACATACAAATCCATTAAGCCATGACAACAAGCACCATTTAAATTGACTTAAAGTGTTTTATCTTCCTTGAGTTAAAAAGGACTTTCTGATAAACAGTTTTGGGAAAGGAGGGGAAAAGTTTGGAAAGTGCTGATCTTGACCCTTTTACTGGATCTTAATAAAAAAAATCTCCCTCGAGGCTTCTTAGTTATCTTCTGAAGGAACACTACTGCTATCCATGTCAACCTTTGCAGATGCCATTTGCTGGCTAAAAAGACTTAAAATTTGCAGAAATGAGAAAATGGGGGATTTTGGAAAAACAATTTATCGGCTGGAATTAACAGCTACTATCTAGTATTGTTGGGCACTCCCAAGTGGGACACTGCAAACACCTGGTTCCTAACAAATTTAACAACAAAGGCAAGAATAGATTGACCTTTATTATTGCCCAAAATTCTCTCTGACTAGTAACTAAAATCAGTGGGAGTAAGAGTCTGGACCAGTGGTGGGATTCTGAAATGTTACCAAGGGGTTCTCTGCCAGGTTGCTGGGTGGGCATAGCCATGGTAGGCGTGCTCTACTTGGCCTCCTGCACCATGGCCGGGGCAGGGGGCATTTTCACCCTCCCCAGGCTCCGGAGGCTTTCCCCAAGTTTCTAGGAGGGAAAAAACAGCCTCTCTTGGGCTCTGGAGGCCCTCTGGAACTCAAAAACGGGTCCATTTTCAGGCTTCTGGTACTTCTGGTAGGCCTGTTTTACACCTTCCAAGGAATTGCTTTCATAGAAAGTAGAACTCTGAAGCAGAAAATTTCCTCAAGGAATGATTTATTGAATACATCATATTGGCACAATTGGTGAAAACCAACTCTGAAACCCACAGTTTTTCATCATATTAAAAAGAGAACGTCTTCCCCCTTCCCCAAGTCACTAATCACATGGTCCAACTGCGGTGTTGGCTAGTTGCTTGGTTACTTCGCTCCTCCTCTCCCCAGCCACCTGTTGGAATGACCTTGGTTCCCACAGGAAAACTTATTATTTTGACGATGACATCCCAGCTAACTATTTCTCTCCCCGTCCCAACTAGTGGCAGCCCTGAAGCTGCTAATGGCAGCCCTGCAGTTGCTATTAACATGGTTGTTAAGTGAATCTGGTTTCCCCATTGGCTTTGCTTGTGAGAAGGTCACAAAAGGGGATCACATGACTGCACCATTATAAATATGGGTCACTTGTCAAGCGCCTGGATTTTGACCACATGACTGTGGGGATTCTGCAATGGTCATTAAGTGTGAAAAACAGTCATGTCACTTTTTTTCAGTGCCACTGCAACTTCATCACTAAATGAATGTGCCAGGCGTGCAGCAGTTCCTTTAAGAATCTTTGGCCTGCCACACTCTCATTAAGGGTGGGAGGGATAGCAAGGGGTAGAATGTGTTGTTTTCAAAATAAAAAATTCCTTTCTAAAAGCTCAACGTTATTCTTTGTCTCCGCACCTTTGCACCTGACCGGAACCAGCTGGGTGGAGATTCTTAAAGGAAC